ATTCTTTTGATGTGATCTCCCCTGCTATCTTCTTAAACAAGACACTCCAGGTTCATTTTGTATATTTTTTCTCCATGCCTGAATTGAGCCATTTCTCCAAGCAGCTCGAGGTCTGTTGTTTGAAATGGTCTTGGGAGATCATAATCTAGATTCTCCTATTGTTTTTGCAATTGATTAGTATCGTGACTAGACTTTTCAGTGGACAGAACTAGAATTAAAATACATTGTTGGCCAGGCGCAGTGGCTCACACTTGTAATCCTAGCACTCTGGGAGGCCAAGGCGGGAGGATTGGTCAAGATCAGGAGTTCGAAACCAGCCTGAGCAAGAGTGAGACCCCCATCTCTACTAAAAATAGAAAGAAAATTAATTGGCCAACTAAAATATATAGAAAAATTAGCTGGGCATGGTGGCACATGCCTATAGTCCCAGCTATTCAGGAGGCTGAGGCAGAAGGATTGCTTGAGCCCAGTAGTTTGAGGTTGCTGTGAGCTAGGCTGACGCCATGGCACTCTAGCCCAGGCAACAGAGTGAGACTCTGTCTCAAAAATAAATAAATAAATAAAATAAAATATATTATTACTTCATACTAGTACTTGCCCGTTCTAATTCAGGGCAGCGTTTTGTAAGATTCCACATTCTATGTCCTTTTTCCATGCTGAGAATCCTGATTTGGCAGTCTTTCTTTCAGCGTCTCTTCTGCCATTTTATTTATCTTTTAGAAGCTCATTCTCTAGTAGATTTCTCGATAATGGATCAGTCATAAGAACAATATTCCTTGAGTTCTTTCATAGTGAAAACAGTTTTCCTGTGTCCTTTACATTTGAGAATTTGTTTGGATATTAAATTCTTGGCTTGCACTTTCTGTCTTTAGTGTGTTAAATATGTCACTCTATTGTTTTCTGACATAGAGTGTTGAGGTCTATATGGATGATGAGACCAGGTTGGTCTCCAACGCCTGGCCTTAAGCCGTCCTCCTGCCTCAGTCTCCCAAGGAGCTGGGACTACAGGCATGAGCCATAATACCTGGCTTATAGTTTCTTGTGTTGGAGGCCTACATAATTGATTTTATGCCTTTTTTTTAATACAGGCATTTTAAAGCTCTAAATTTCTAAGTGCTGCGTTATCAGCATCCCACATATTTTGATATCTCATGTCTTCACTTTTATTCAGTTTTAAATATTTTTTTTATTTCTTTTAGGATTTCTTTTTTGACCCATGGGTTATTTATCTTAGTTTCATTAAATTTCCAAATTGGAGATTTCCTAGATATTGTTTTTGTTCTTTCATAATTTAATATCACTATGCTCAGGAAACATACTTGGGATAATTTCAGCCCTTTGAAATTTATTGAGATTTGTTTTATGACTCAGCATATGGTCTATGTTGATTTCATGTGCTCTTGTATATTCTACCATTGATTGCAATGTTCTATAATGCCAATTAGGGCAATTTATCGATAATATTCAAATCTTCTATATATTTAGTGATAATTTTATCTAGTTCTCTCAATTACTGTAAAAGAGGTATTAAAATATCCAATATGATTGTGTTTTTGTCTCTTTTCCTTTTAGTTCTACATTTAGTTCTCCTTCATGAATTTTGAAACTTCCTTAGGTGCATATACATTTAGGATTATTATGTCTTCTTGATTATTTGGATTTTTTATCATTATGAAATGACACTCTGGTAATGTTCTTTGTCTTGAAGTCTACATTGATAATAAATAGAACCTTGACAACTTTGCTACAATTAGTGTTTGAATGGCATATTCTTTTTCCATGGCAATATTCTTCTCATCCTCATTTTTACATGGAATTAGTTTTACTGAACTTTTCAAAGGGATAGATGTATGAGGATAACTTTTCTAGCTTCACTGATCTAAAGCTTTCTTTTCTGTTGCTTTTGCACAATGGTAAATGTATTTTACTTGCATTTTTTATTTCTTTTGTTCTTGAGTTTATCCTGCACAATTTGAATTCTACTCTCAGCATCTTCTCTCAATGCAGAGCTTTGCCCTAAAAGGGATTTTCTCTTGGGGTAGTACTAAGAGGTAGTATAGCCCAGACTACTCCCAGCCCTTATCAGAAGTTGCTAGCTCTTTTATTCTTCTCTTCCACATGTTAGAGTATGTAACACCCCTTCCAGTTTCAGCTGGAGTTCTCAGATTGGCCCTGACACTTTTCAGAAATACCCATTTGTAATTTAGAGGTGCTTCTGCTTTTAGGGGAGTTCTGTTGCTTCTTTCCGCTTTGAGTCCATTGCAGAGAAGTATATTTGTACCATTTGATGTTTGCAGCTGCCGAAGTATGATGCTAATCTTGTCCAGGAAGGGCCATTTAAGAATCCAGATCAGGGGGTTCTTGATTGTTCATTAACCTCTGGACTTGTGTCTTATTGTGATTACTGCATTTTCTTATGTTACAACTCCAATTCTTTTCACCACTTGCTTTTCATACGCCAGAGTCATTTTGAGGGAGTCTCATAGAATACAGCCTGTGTAGTGAGCAAGGTCCCAGGTAAGATGTCTGTTCTCTTCAGTGATCCTGTATTGTTATATAGTGGATGGGACCCTCCTAGTTTTAGATTTAGATAAAGAAGATAATTCAGAAAGGATGGAAACCTATCCCTACCACCTACCACCCAAATGGGTATCTTTTGTGTTATGTAAGTTTGAATTAACTGAAGGCTAACTAATGCTGGGTAGGATTATACAACCCAAAATGCCTCTAATATACAAGGTACCTTAATAACCTGTAGAAATTATTGCCCAATTATTTGTGTGGTTATTTTTTGAAAATGCTTTATTCTAGGGAGTGGGGTGATTGAGTGCTGTTGAGACAGCACTCATGATCCTCAGATAATTCTTCTGCTACTAGGGAGGCTGAGGCAAGAAGATGGCTAGAGGTCAGGAGTTTGAGACCAACCTGGGCAACATAGACCTTGTCAATCAATCAGTCAATCAATCAAATAAATAAATACATCAAATAAAAGTAAATAAAATAAATTTGTGTAAAACATTGAGCAAACACTTTGGAAATGTATTTTTCCCATTGGATTTCAAAACTGTTGTTTATGATAATCTCTATTTTAAAGGTGAAGAGGCTGATGCATGATGATGTTAAATGGTTTGCTCATATAGCTCATCCCAGAGTCGGGATTTGATGTCTTCTCATTCTAAATCCTGTATTCTTTCCTTTATACCATAGAACCTCATGTTAAAATTTTCAAAATGTTCTGAGACAGCTGAATGGATGAACCGGCTATTACAACTTAGCTATGGCTACTCAAACAGACTGGGTTGCTCAGTAACAGTTTTATGAAGTACAAAGACCAGAGAAATGATGAAAAAGAATAAACTGGTAGTCAAAGATTTGAGATCTAATTTTAGCCTAACAGATCACAAATACTCTTTAGACATATAAGGAAAATATCAGTTTTGCCAGGAGGGATCTGTGTGTGTACTTTTATCAGTTTTAACAAAATGTGATCCAGATACGTTTTGGACTACTTGTGCTCTCTGCTATCTACTCTCCGGCAGTCCTAACACCATCCACACATTCTGCCAAATGCATTCTAATGTCATTATCATAGCTCATGGCAGCCAAATTTTCCCATACCATATCCACTTCACAGCCTGACTCTTTCTCAAGATTAATTGACTGTACTGTGTCATTTCTCCAAGGAGGCTAACTATGGAGAAAATTACAATTCCTGAAATCCACACATTTGATTAAATCAGCCTTTTCATCTTTCCCTGGAACCTAAAAGCTGGTATCTCTGAGAATTTTGCTGTTCAGAGACAGGCATAAGGCAAGTTTTAAAACAAAGTAAGTTAGTCACACATTGGTAACCTGTCGTCAGGGGTAGCTGTGAATGTTTTTATGTGTGATGCTCAGTTTCCTTTAGTTTCTGAGCAAACTCACCATAAAGATTTCATTTTTTTAATGCTCATATTCTTTTTCATGGTAGGGATTTGAAATCAGCTACTAGACAAGCTGAATCCACACGGAGATATGTGTAAATACATGTGTTAATGTGTGTATGTATATACAAATATTTTTTAATCACTGGGCAAAATCAAGTTGCCTTAGAAATTTCTACTTCAGGATAAATCATACTTGAGTGTTTGTGTAGCAGAAATAATGTTGGCCCTAGGCCAAAGTGAGAAAAAAAAAAGACAATGGGTATTTATTTGCACGCCACCCGTTTGCAGCATCTCTGACCTTACTCTGACTTTTAGCCTAGGTTCCTTCACCATGGCATTATCAACTATATTGGTTGGGGTTCTTTTCAGGGACTGCAAGACTTTTGTTAAGTAAGAAACCTACTGCTTCTTACTAGTTTTGTGTTCTTCTTCAAATAATCCTTTTGAAACCCTTCTGTGAGCCTTGCAGCTGTGATATGAAGCAACCTCTAAGTGGCATCTTCTGGAGACTGACTATGAGTGGTCTAGTGTCACAGTGCTAGCTGCCATATTGGTCTCTCCTCAGTGATAGCACCAAGAGCTCTGATTGGAGACTGTCAGTGTCTCCTGGGACTCTTACTTTTTTCCTCCCAGCAATTTAGAAAACACTTATAGTATATAAGCAATATATTATAAATATAGAATACATATTAGTTTGGGGACACATAACTGATACTTCATTTGTTTAGAGTTTAGAAAAACATTTAGGCCCCCTACTTCCGTTGTGTCCCATCTTGTTAACAGGTTCATTTCTGAAATATGTCAAACACATAGTGATTGATTTTGAAAATGGAATTGGACCAAGAGTAGTTATAAGAATGGAGGATTCTTGTCAGCTGCTACTATCTGTATCTAAAACTCTAACATGAAACCATAAGAGAACTACTGTTGGTGCCTGAAAAGTTTGAGTCCTCTCGGTCATAATAATTGTGCATGAATGAAATCAGCATTTGGATGAAGAATGAATATCCCATATTGGAAAATAATCATAGCTTTTATGTTTTTTTGTGTGTATGTGTATGTGTGATTTGACAGCTTTTTGGAGACTGTAGCCTATTTCTTCATGAAACCAAAACTTGGAGAGAAGGAGGTGTCTCCAAATGTTTTCTTCAGTATCTGGCATGAATTCAGCTCTGATTTTAAAGACTTCTGGAAGAAAGAGAACAAACTTATTCTACAAGAGAGGTAGGTATTTTCATTTGCTCAATGGCATTTTAAATCTGGTATTTTATTAGGTGTGACACCACTGGGGTTGCCAACTTTTGTAGCCTCAATGAAAAATTTTAGATGGCCCTCAACCTGGGGTAGCAAGTCAAAGAGGGTGCTGACATTTGGCAAAATTTGGTGTTTGAGCAAGCAGAGTCAGCATAGTGATGTTACAGGGAATAACTGGGTGTGACAGTTTGCCAGGACCACTGTCTGATAAAATAACTTCTGTCATGAAACCACATAAAGTAGACCATGTAAGAAGGGTTGAACAACCTTCTGGGATGATAAACCCACTCGTCTCAAAAGATGGATAGCAGACTATAAAGGTAAGAGGAATAGTTTTTGGTTTTGTTCAATCCATGAGACATTGTACATTTGCTGTTCATATCAAAATGTCACCCAGATGGTACCAAGAAGCACAGGTGATCAATATTTTTTAAAAGACCTTTCAAGATGCTTGTAGAATTGTGTCATATTTCCTAAAATAAATCTTTTCCTAAAATAAAGGGAAATCTCTCCTCTTAAGAGTATGAAACAAAGTCTCTGTGATTATGAAATTGCATAGAGCTGTGTTAAATATCAAGTCATAAAGAAAGCTGGCCTTCTTACAGCACCATCCTCAAGTAGCCGCATATAGTGGGAAAATGACCAGGACTCAAAATCTATACTATAAAGTAGACCCTAATACCGAACCACTTAGTATACTTCCTAACATCCCTACCAACGACTTTGCTTTAGATCTTTAGAAAACTTATGTCCTGAGGAACTTTGTTCTTCGCTACCACAAAATTGCAGTTTTCTGCTTATTGTCTTCATTTTGGTCTACTTACACACAAAACCACGATCGTCCACCTAGTTTTCACTTGTGAGTCAACTTTGGTGCCTCCTTAAACCCGGTGAAATGAATTGCTAACATTTATTAAGCATGGAGACTATGCCAGACTTGTGCTGACTCTTCTAATTAATTACTTAGACTCCACAGGTCTGTCATAGAAGAAATGATGCCTCAGTGAATAGTAGGTAGAAAAAGGGAGCAGTTTGAACAGAAGGAAAAGCCTTTAAACATCTACTTTAAAAGACAATGAGCTTATTCTACCTCCAAATGCATCAGTAGGAGTTAGCATAAAATAGGAGATTTTAGTTGAGTGTCCATACAGGGACATACAAGAGATCATTGCTTAAAAATAAGTATATTTGAATCATTGTTCTTTTCCTTCAGACTTAGCTGTCTATTAAGTGATTTTCTTTTTTTTTTTTTTTTTTTTTACCAAAAGCTTTGTTCAGTTTGGAAAATTATAAAGAGGAAACATTTTTTTAACCTTAGCACATCACCCATAACTTCCTTTCCTGCCCCTCCCTGGGTCTCCACATGCCTCCTTTCACCTCTCATCTAAACTCGTTTCCCTGGAAAAGGGTTAAAACTCATTTAACACCAAATTTCAAAATGGAGAAAGGAGGATTTCGCATTGCACGATTATTTGCATCGTATCCGGGATGAGAGTCCACAATGAGAGTGGCCATGGTGCAATTTAGGCATCAACAAGATGGGGGGGGATGACCCCGTCACTTTGGAGTAGCTGCTGGGATGCAGCCGGGTAAGCAAGCGCATTACAGGGGAAGAATGTCTTAGTCCTGTCTTGCTGCAGCCTTGGAGGTCCAAGGATGGGCACATGGGTGGACGCCCTCCTCATAGCTGTCTTCCACTACTGCACATCAGAACATAAGTGGGTGGGATGCCCCCTCAGAGGAAACTTTGAGACTGATTCCGACGCACAGCTCCCTGAGCATCGTCATGGTCCCATCTGCTGGTGTCTCCCCAGATCATGTGTCACGTGCACCCCAAGTCCACTGGCTTGGAGCCAGCACAGCCACAGGAATTGTGGGAGGACTGCAGCCCTTATGGCCCCACTGCCTTATAAACTTAGTCCTGGCCCCAGGCTGCTCTTTTTTCTGCCAACAATGGGGCTAGTAGGAACTAGCACTTGAGAGTCGGGGGAGGACTTAGGTAGGGGGATTTCCCTTTGGCCCCCCGGCTGGCCAAAATGCTCCCTCTGTGGGCACCAGCAGAATCCTGCCCTGTGCTGTGCTCCCCTGTGCCAGGGTGGCCCTGAGTTTCAATTCAAAGCCCCACAGTCACTTCACTCTCCCTCCCCCGAGCACATAGAGTCTCTCTCCACTCTGTGTGCTGGTGCGGCGTTGCTGGGATGGGGTGGCGGAGGCGACCCCAAGGCCACCTTTCCTGCCCTCTTCCCAGTGCCTCTGTCCTTGGTATGATGTTAAAACCAGGTGCTGTGATCACTCACCTGGCTTTTGGTTATTCTGAAGGTGCTCACTTGCATGGATCGTTGTTGAATTAGGTATTCATGCGGAGGGACTATTGCTGGAAGTTTCTATTCAGCCATCTTGCCCCGCCCCCAGACTCAAATGCCATATATTTCTTGAAATGGTGAATTTCTGTATGTCCATGTTGAATAGGTCTGCTGTCTTTCGAGTCAATGTGGATCGGATTTCTAAGTTACTACTTAGTAGCTACTGCTTACTGCGAACTACTTACTATTATTTCTTACTAGCTACTACTTACAACTACTAAATTGCCACTGAATAGCTCCAGAATTGTAAAAAAATCAATTATCCTTCCTAACCTGCGAAATGGCAATAATAATACCTATCTTACAGTGTTATTGTGTAGACTAAATGAGATAGTGTATTAAATATTTAAAGTATATAGCACAGTGTCTACATTCTCAATGTTCAATGGCTGTTTTTCCATCATTTAATAAAAACATGGCATCCCAGGCATGGCTCCCCACAAGGTGGATGTTAGCTAAGGCATGTTAAACATCTTAAGAACATAGTCTGTAAATACAAAGTGTTATTGTGACTCAGTTACATTCTTGGTTAGGTAAAATGTCTTGGTTCAGAGTCCAAAAAATGAACTTTTATTTGAAAATGTTACACTATGGATTCCTGTTTTGATGCTTAAGAAGTTGACCCATTGGTTTTGTCATAAGTCAGGAAAATTGTTTTTCCATTTACTTGTAACTAGATGTGTACAATTGTTGATAAGAATCCTACTTTTTAAAAAAAATCTAGACTTGTCATCACTGAGCAACACAAAACATAGGAAAAATAATTTTAAAAAAATTCTCAATTTGACTGTGTTCACCAGAACATGGGCAGTAAACTAACATTTTACTCTGCCAAGCATCTCCCCAAAGATCCAGAGAGCCACAGCTGTAACGTGTAAAGAAATGGACGCATCTCTTACTTTCAGGAACACTAACATTAGTGTCACCTGCCCAGTTATGTGGCCCTGTGGAGCTAGAACAACAAGAGCTGTGTTAATTAGAAGAAGTACAAATTGATGGAGAATATGTATCCTTTTGAGCCTGATTAAGGGGCTATTATATGAGTCCTGAAAGAAGAGGATGAGATTCCTAGAACAACTTCACTTCATACTTTTGCTCTACTTTTTTTTTTTTTCCTGAGACAAGAATCTAACTCCATCACCCTGGGTAGAGTGCAGTGGTGTCACCGTAGCTCATTACAACCTTAAACCCCTGGTCAAGTGATCCCCTTGCCTCAGCCTCCCGAGTAGCTGGGACTATAGGCGTGCGCCACCGCACCCGGCTAATTTCTATTTTTGGTAAAGACAGGGTCTTGCTCTTGTTCAGGACTCTTGCTCTAAGTTGAACTCAGTCTTTAGGCAGAATGTGCCACTGTGTATCTACGTGACTGGTTCCATATTGAGTTTTGCTAGGCGCTGAGACATTCAAGTCCCTTAGATGAGGGTCTCCTCGTCTTTGAATGAGCAGTATATCGCTGGTGTGGCGTAACATGCAGTGGGCAAAATCGAGGAGGGGGAGTCATTGTGCCCAGAGGAGTTTCAACCTGGAGCTTAGAGCAAGCACAGGATGTTCACAGGCAGTCCGGGAGGTAAGGGCATTTTAGGCAACAGAATCTGGCTCTGGCAGCTGGGCCCCAAACCTCATAATGTGTAGCGTGGCCTTTCATGATTTCATTTTTAGTCAGCTTAAGACATTTTAATTTAATAAATCAATTGTGACATTAGTAAGGGTTATGTTTAAAGTGTTGTCTAACTTAATTTACTGGTTTATTTTACTTTGAGACAGGTAGTCTTTGATGAACCAAGAGAGAGGATAGCTACTCCTCTAATTGCACAAGCATGTAGCAATCAAGTGTGCTTTCAGCCCAGCTGAAATCTGTAATTAGAGAATGATTTGAATGTTTGTCCTTAGAAGGTTATGTATGACACTGGAGAGCGCCTCACGCCATGTTAACATTCCCGTTTCCATAATTTGTATTCAAGAGAGCTGTATGTTCAGATTTATGTATGATATTATTAGAGTAAGCTTAAGAAGGAAGAGACCACTTTCAAGGTGATTGGTGCTATATCTGAAGAATGGAGATAAGGAAAAGTTTATTCTTATGTAATAACATCGGATACCGAAATAAAATTCCCTCTTAGACTGCTATTTGGCATTGTTGGATTGCAGCAATAAATGAATTTGGCCAACTGTTTACTCTTTTCACTCAGGCATCAATTTCTAGAGAAATGACCCATACAGAAATCCTCTTCCCAGTGCCAGCTTTCTATAACTGAAGCTTTGGCAGGGCAATGGAGAAACTAGATGGTAAAAATAGTGGCTAATGGGGCTGGGCATGTGTGGGGAATTGGACCTACATTCATGGATAGGAGTGATGAGGATGCATTAAGCCATAACGGGCAATTCATTCAACAATTATTTGTGCCCTGCTATGTGCTAGGCGACATTCTTGTCCATGTGGGTCTTACCCTCTCATGAGAGAAACAGGCCGTGAAAAGTAAGCACATGTCTAAATTGCAAGTCGAAATTAGTGCTGTGAGGAAAATAAACATGGAGCCATGTTGCAGAATCCAAAGTGGAAGGGGTTCGTTTAGAAAAGGTGGTCAGAGGAGGCCTTTCTTAGGAGGC